GGTTTTAACATTTACTGGTTGTCCCCCTCCACCACCACCAATGTATGCTTCCTTCCCAGTTTATAGTCCAGAGCTAGATTGTTTATATTTTTATGAAATGTGTTTTATTGTTTGCCTGTGCGGCATTGATTTTTTGCTGGATTTGTAAGCCGCCTTTAGTCCCATCTTGGGTCAAGAAAGACGAGGTAGAAATGAAGTAAATAAATAAATAGTCTCAGCTGCTAAAGGGAGCATTACAGCAGGGCCTTGGTATCCGCTTCTCCACCACCACCACCACCACTGTGGATGCCTAAATCCACAGCTGCTCAATTCTCAATTATATATAAAACAGTATAGTAACAGGATATCCCTTAAACAAAATGGGAAAAATCAAGATTTGCCTGGTGAGATTCTTTAAAAGTATTTTTAAGCTGTAGATGGTTGAATCCATGATGCAGAATCTGTGAATACAGAGTTGAATGCACAGTTTTGTGGGGCACTCTTGGAGCAGAGCTAAGAGAGTAGAGGAAGAGTATGTGTGTAATATGTACAGCAACCCACCATATATATATGTATGTGTGTATGCACAGAGACACACAAACACCTGAGTATGTTATATGTGTGTTTTATTTTTGCATAAAGAACATTTATGCAATGTATATGTGTGTATATACATACACAACCTGTGAATTTTGTGTGTATATAAATATATACGTGTGTGCATGTGTGTGCATGCTTGAATTTATTGTTAGTGTTTACATACATGTATATAAAATTCCAGTGGTGCAATGGGTTAAAGCGCTGAGCTGCTGAGCTTGTTGACCGAAAGGTCACAGGTTCGATTACGGGGAGCGGCGTGAGCTTCCGCTGTCAGCCTAGCTTCTGCCAACCTAGCAGTTCGAAAACATGCAAATGGGAGTAGATCAATAGGTACCGCTCCGGCGGGAAGGTAACGGTGCTCCATGCAGTCATGCCGGCCACATGACCTTGGAGGTATCTATGGACAACGCCGGATCTTCGGCTTAGAAATAGAGATGAGCACCACACCCCAGAGTCAGACATGACTGGACTTCATCTCAGGGGACAACCTTTACCTTTTTATATAAATTCACACACAGAATGTGTGTTTGTGTGTGTACATATATATATATATATATGGGGGGGGAGTGTTTGTTTATAAAATTGCATATACAAAATACCCACACATAGGGTGATACAACACACACACGCACCCTATGCACCTGTATGTAGTTTTATGGATATATACATAAAATACACACCCGTATGTACAGTGCGTATATGGATATATAATATACACACAAAAAATAAAACACACACAAATATAAAATAAACAGAAACATATTTTTTTAAACACACAAAGCATATTTATTTATATGTGTGTGAAATACATAAAAGTACATAAAATAAAATAGACACACATATAGTGTATGATTATATACTGTATATAATACATATTTATAGTTTAGACCTGGCATGGGCAAACTTCAGCCCTCTGAGTGTTTTGGACTTCAACTCCCACAATTCCTAATACCTGGAGGGCCGAAGTTTGCCCATGCCTGGTTTACACATTATGGTTTTATATATAAACATATACACTATGTGTGCATATATTATATATACAGTATACAAACATATAAAACACATACATTTAGATATGTTCTCAATCATATATATATATATATATATATATATATATATATATATATATATATGGATGGTACATATAGTTTACACACATTTTATATACACACTTAGATATTACATACACACACTTTAGCATGGCCCCCTGCTCTACAATCCTGACATTATAAAGCCCAAAGACATTACTTTGCCATCCCGGCCACTGATTTTTTCACTTTTCCTTAGCCCTATCTAGGAATTTTGCACAAACTCAGAGCCCTCTGAACTCAGCACTTATATTGCTCCCATGATACTGTTTTCATGATGTTATGTTTTATTGTGATATATGTTTCTATTTGGTTTTGTTTTGTTTTGATTGCATTACAATTTAACTCTGTGCTCTCTGGGCTTATTCCTTTGTAAGCTGCCCTGAGTCCCTTCCGGGAGATGGAGGCGGGGTATAAAAATAAAGTTGGTGATAGTATGATAGCTGGGTCCAGAAGCTCTGAGCCTTATGGAAAGGCGGCTGTGAATAGGGGAAGAGAGGGGGTGGAATGGGAGCGGGGGGAGTGAAAGAAGGATAGAAATAAGGGGGCACTTAGGGTAAGGGTTAGGGCAAGGTTTAGGGTTTGGGTTACGGTTAGGTTTAGGGGTTACAGTCAGGGTACGGTTTAGGCAGGGGCGGCTCAACCCATTATGCAAAGTAAGCATTTGCAGTATAGTTGATTTTACCCAGGGGCGCTCTTGAGGTACTCTTGGGGAAAAATAGACCTTGACATATGCGAGTTGTAGTTACTGGGATGTATAGTTCACCTACAATCAAAGAGCATTCTGAACTCCACCAATGATGGAATTGAACCAAATATGGCACACAGAACTCCCATGACGAACAGAAAATATATAACAGTGATTGGTTTGGGGTTGGGTGGGGGGGCCAAAATACTGTTTGCTTACCATTGAAAATTACCTAGGGCCGCCTCTGGGTTTAGGGTTAGGGTAAGGTTTTGGGTTTGAGTTAGCATAAGGGTTAGGGTAAACTTTAAAGGTTGGGTTAGGGTAAGGGCTTAGGCTGTAATGGTACAGTTCAGGGTTAGAGTTAGGGTTTCACCATTAAAGAACTCTTACATTCCTTCTATATTATCTGTTCCGGCCTAGCTTACATTAGCTCAGTCTCTCTTGTGCAATCAGCACTCCTGAAGGAGCAATGCGGCATCTCTGTAATGCTTGGAGACCCAGCTATCATACTATTACCATAAAGTTGTTGTTGTTGTTGTTGTTATTATTATTATTATTATTATTATTATTATTATTATTATTATTAGATACACATAGAGTGAGTATGTTTAACGGTGTTCAACAGTGGAACTCACTGCCTGGGAGTGTGGCTTTGAAACAGAGGCTGGGTGGCCATCTGTCGGGGTGTGTGTGCGCTTTTGTGTATGCTTTTCCTGCATGGCAGGGGGTTGCACTGGGATGGCCCATGCACTCTCTTTCAGCTCTAGGATTCTCTCTCTATATATACCCAAATAGTATTTGTTTATTACTTATTACACTGTATTTGAATACCTCCTTTCTCAGCCCGTAGGCGACTGAGAAAGGCGGTATACAAATACAGTAAATACATAAATAATATATATATATGTGTGTGTGTGTGTGTGTGTGTGTGTGTGTGTGTGTGTATAAATGTTCTGTGCATAATGAGTATCTTAAAAACAAAAGAACCAATGAACGAAATCACACCAAATTTGGCAACAAAATGTCTCACAACACAAAGAGTGACCATTACTCAAAAATTATGATTTTGTCATTTGGGAGTTGTAGTTGCTGGGATTTATATCTCACCCTCAATCAAAGAGCATTCTGAACTCCCATCAATGATGGAACCGAACAAAACTTGGCACACAGAACTCCCATGACCAACAGAAAATATTGGAAGGGTTTGGTGGACATTGACCTTGAATTTGGGAGTTGTAGTTCACCTACATCCAGACAACACTGTGGACTCAAACAATGATGGATCTGGACCAAACTTGGCACAAGCACTCAATACACCCAAATATGAACACAGATGGAGTTATGACATTTGGGAGTTGTAGTCACTGGGATTCACAGCTCACCTACAATCAAAGAGCATCCTGAACCCCACAAACAACAGAATCGGGGCAGACTTCCCACACAGAACCCCCATGACCAACAGAAAATACTTAAGGCCATCCAATCCAACTCCCTTCATCAGGGCAAGAAAACATAATCAAATTCCTCCTGACACTCTACACATCAACACTGACAAAGAAACAGCAAGAAATGCTGTTTACCCACAAGCATAAAGAAATTACATATATTAGAAACCAACACTTTCTCGTTACTTTATTTTCCAGATCAAGACTGGGCCACAGCAACGCGTGGTAGGGGAGAGCTCGTATTATATATGTTTGTATATAGCAGTGGTTCTCTACCTTGCTAATGCCGTGACCCCTTAATGCAGTTCCATATGTTGTGATGACCCCTAACTATAATATTGTTTTCGTTGCCACTTGATACCTGTCATTTTACTACTTTATAAATCGTAATGTAAATATCTGATATACAGGATGTATTTTCATTCACTGGACTAAATTGAGCACAAATACCAATATGCCCAAATGTGAATGCTAGTGGGGTTGGGGAGGATTGATTTTGTAATTTGGGAGTTGTAGTTGCTGGGATTTATAGTTCACTTATAATCAAAGAGATTCTGAACTCCACGAGCGATGGATTTAAACCGAACGTGGCACACAGAACTCCCATGATGATTAGAAAACACTGGAAGGGTTTTGTGGGCACTGACCTTGAGATTGGGAGTTGTAGTTCACCTATATCCAGAGGAGTGCTGTGGATTCATGAAATGATGGATCTGGACCAAACTTGGCACGAATACTCAATATGCCCAAATGTGAACATTGGTGGAGTTTGGGGAAAATAGACCTTGGCATTTGGAAGTTGTAGTTATTGGGATTTATAGTTCACCTACAATCAAAGAGCATTCTGAACTCAACCAACAATAGAATTGGGTCAAACTTCCCACACAGAATCCCAATGACCAACAGAAAATACTATGTTTTCTGATAGTCTTTAGCGACCCCTTTGACACCCCCAGGTTGAGAAACACTGCTATATAGAAAACCTAATGTATGAGCTATATTAGGCATGGGCCAACTGCGGCTCTCCCTCCAGGTGTTTTGGACTCCAACTCCCACAATTCCTAACAGCCTACCGGATGTTAGGAATTGTGGGAGTTGAAGGCCAAAACACCTGGAGGGAGAGCCGCAGTTGGCCATGCCTGAGCTATAGGTAGGCAGCACCCTCCTCCTCCTCCTCCCCGCTGCCTGCTTGGCTGCCCTCTCTGCCTGCCTGCCTGGCTCCCTCCTTCTTTTCGGGCTGGGCTCTCGGTCGCCCCGCCGCTTCCTGGGAAGCTTTGCTGAAACGGAGAGGGGGGGAGAAAGAGAGAGGGAAGGCGGGGCGGCGGCGGAAACCAGACCTTGGCGATAAGAAGAGCGTGCGGTGCCCAGGCGTCGGCGGCCCCAGCAACAGCAAGAGCAGCCTTCTTGCAACCCCCTCCCCTCCCCGCTCTTCCTCCTCGCCGTCATCACCCCCCATCTATTCCTCTCTCTCTCTCTCTCTCTCTTTCTCAATCTCTCTCTTTGCTGGGCGCCGCAGGGGGAGGGGGGCCGCGGGAGGAATGCCGCTGTGACACGCAGGGCGGCACAAGTCCCAGCTTTTTTTCTTCTTCTTTCCTTTCCTCTTTCCCTCCCCTTTTTTGTTTTCCCCTCCCACCTTTTTGGTGGTGGTAAGAGTGTATTTTTTTTCCAAGTGGGTATTTTTTTCCCCCTCTCCTTTTTTTTTTTTTTTTTTAATTTTTGGGTTCCGCTTTCCAATTTGTCACCATCCTCTCCCGAATCCCCCACAATGCCTTGGTCGGTCTGTCCACACCACGATCTGATGGTTGCCTCTGGAAAGAAATGTGAGAGAGGTAAGCATTGCAAGCAAAGCTCGTCGGGGCTTCTTGGTGGTTTGGCCCTGGGGAAAAGACCCCCTCCCCTCCCTTTTTCCCTTTCCTGAATAATCTTTTTAGACTGATTAATTGTTATTATTGTGTGTGTGTATAAGGCTTGAGATGAAACACATATTATGCACCCTGGACAGGGAGGAAGTGAGCCTCGCCTGTCGTAGACAAGTATTTTCCTTGCTCCAGTTGAGGATTTCCTATCAACCACCCAGTTTCCTATCACTTTGCATGCTTTGCCACAATGTTGATATTTTACAAAAGCCTTGAGATGGAAAACACCAACAGTGGGCAGGGAGGAAGTAGAGTTACAGTCAAGTATTTCCCTTGCTTGCTACAGTTTCAGATCATTCATATATATCTATATATGCTTTGCCACAATGTTCTTGTTGTTTTAATGTTTCGGCTTTCAGACAAGAACACACACATACACAAACTGGGCAAGGAGGAAGTGAGCTTTGCCCCACAGTGTGTGTGTTGTCAAAGGCTTTCATGTCTGGAATCACCGGGTTGCTGTGAGTTTTCCGGACTGTGTGGCCATGTTCCGAAAGCATTCTCTCCTGACGTTTTGCCTGCATCTCTGGCAGGCATACTCAGAGGTTGTGAGGTCTTTTGGAAACTAGGAAAATGGGGTTTATATATCTGGGGAAGGGAGTCCCCAGTGGCGGAGTGAATTAAACCGCTGAGCTGCTAAACTTGTTGACCAAAAGGTCGCAGGTTTGAATTGTGGGAGTGGCATGAGCTTCTGCTGTCAGCCCCAGCTTCTGCCAACTTAGCAGTTAGAAAACATGCAAATGTGAGTAGATCAATAGGTATCACTCCAGCAGGAAGGTAATGGCGCTCCATGGTTCGAATCTGGGGAATGGCGTGAGCTTCTGCTGTCAGCCCCAGCTTCTGCCAACCTAGCAGTTTGAAAACATGCAAATGTGAGTAGATCAATAGGTACCACTCCAGCGGGAAGGTGATGGCACTCCATGCAGTTATGCTGGCCACATGCCCTTGTCTACGGACAACACCAGCTCTTCAGCGTAGAAATGGAGATTAGCACCACACCCCAGAGTCAGACACTGGACTTAATGTCAGGGAAAAACCTTTTACCTTTTTATATCTCTGGAATGTCCAGGGTGGGAGAAAGAGCTCTTGTCTGTTTGAGGCAAGTGTGAATATTGCAATTGACTTCCTTGATTATGGCCTTGCAGCTTCAAGATCTGGCTGCTTACTGGCAACCAGTATTTTTAAAAACTCTAAAATCATATCAGTAAATAAAGAACAACACTCAAAAACAGGGGAATTCCAGACAAGAATCAATTAGGGCCAGCTAATCACCTCCCAACGAAAGATTCCCCAGGCAGTAAACAGCCAGACCTTGATGCTGCAAGGCCATTAAATGCTAATCAAGGTGGCCAACTGCAACAGTCACACCTATCTCTTTCTCCCACCCTGGATATTTCACAGATATATGAACACAATTTTCCTAGTTTTCAACAGACTTCACCATCTCTGAGGATGCCTGCCATAGATGCAGGCAAAACATCAGGAGAGAATGCTTCTGGAACATGGTCATATAGCCCGAAAAACTTACAGCAACCCAAAGTGTGTGTGTGTGCTCCCCCCCCCCCGCCATACTTTTAAAGATTTTGCACCACCCTATTGATTCCCTGGAGTTTCAAAAGGGGTTCCCAAAAAGCAGAAGGTGGCAGCTGTGGATCTGCTTGAGTTGTGTGTAGTGTACGTGTGTTTGTGGTGTACATGTGCTTGTGTGGCTCTGCAGAGTTTTGCAGTCTTCACAGAAGCACGCTCATCCATCCAAGGGAGACACCACCAGCTAAACAGGTGCATGGAAAGGTCCCCTGTCACCCATTGACCTTTCTTTCGAGCTTAAATTACCCCTGAACTTGGCTGGCTGAGTGCGTCGCCCCTTATTATAGAACCAGCACACAACTCCCAACAGGAGAGAGAGAGAGAGTGCAAGAGACGTCTGACTTTTGAATTTATTTGTAATTTGTTTGGTTTGTTGTTCCAATCCTCCCATTTCATCCCACTGCATGAGCCCCCAGTTTCACAATGGGTTAAACCCTTATGCCAGCAGGACTGAAGATTGACAGGCTGAAGGTTCAAATCTGGGGAGAGTGGGTTGAGCTCCCTCTGTCAGCTCCAATTCCCCATAGGGGGAGATGAGAGAAGCCTTCCACAAGGATGGTAAAACATCAAAACATCCGGGCATCCCCTGGGCAACATCTTTGCAGATGGCCAGTTCTCTCACACCAGAAGCGACTTGCAATTTCTCAAGTCACTTCTGACACACACATACAAAAAAATTCCACTCCATACTTTAGGGACTACTGCAGCTACTTCCACCAGACTTAGAGGGATATGATATTGTCAACCCATCAAGGATTGCCAGTAAGAATCCCCTTTTTGGGAGCATGTGTCAGGTTAGGATTGGGTCACTGGTGTCAGGGAGGATCTAATCCATTTATTTGGTATGTGCCATCTCACTTGGTGTTTTCTTCTTCTTCTTCTGAGCCAAAAATGCTTGCTGAGAGGTTAATTCCTTGCCGGTTGCACATCAATTACGTGTGACATGTTTAGTGGGGCTTCCTTATATGGGAAGCACGGTATTTTGGTACACGGTAGCTTTTGCCCAAGTAACCGAGTGGGAGGATATCCTTAGGGTTGGAGGGGGGAGGTAGGTGCTATTTCTGTCAGCTAAACAGAATTCAAAATGTCCAGCACATTGATCAATATTAACACAAGAAAGCAAACACACCAAAAATACCCAAGCAGCTGTATAGATTGAATCTAGAAACTGCAGTGTGATCTGGTAAAACCTACATCTAAATGCCTGTATTTTATAAAGCCAGCATTTGATTTTATTTCTATTCTAGAGGTGTTGTATACCTGAATGGACATGACTTTGTTAAACGCAGGGCATTTGAAAAAAAAAATGGTTTGGGTTTCTCAAGGGAAATGTCAGCTATGGTGCATTGTAAGCTATAGTTTTCTGTAGTTTCCTGGCATAGGTAGATTCAGTTGATCTAGTTTAGTCCCTGCTGGGTTCAGAGCTTCTGAATTTTTAAAGCAAATTGACGCAGATGTGGGTTTCTGTCTTGTGAACAAGATTGGCAGAGAAAACGAAAGTTAAGAGAGGAGCTATACATGCCTGTGCCTGTGTTATACCATTTTTGAGTATAGCTGAACCAGAGGCAGTTTGGCAGGTGTTTAGATTTGTGATACAAGACAGAAATTGCTCTCTCTCTCTCTTTTTCTGTCTCTCGAATTCTCCATTCAGTTTGTATAGGTACAATCTTACCTAGAAGTATATATCTCTTGAGTGTGTGTGTGTATGTGTCTGTCTGTCTGTCTGTCTGTCTGTCTGTCTGTCTGTCTGTCTATCTATCTATCTATCTATCTATCTATCTATCTATCTAGAGAAGAACCTGACTGTTCAATAAACAACATGTTTGAAAGTCTCCAGAATAGCTCTCTTTCCCCTCAAGTGTGTGACAACTTACTGATATTTTTTTAAGCATATGTTGCCAGCCAGATACTCAGCTCACAGACAGAAGTGGTGAAAACCCTTTGGTATAAAAAAAGAAAATACATAATCAATTGTTTGGACATAATTGGTATAATTGATAGGCCTGGGTAACAACGCAAAAATTTGTTTCTAAAATCGATTTGTAATTGGGGTGTTTTTTTGTTTCAATATTTAAAATAATTACAAAATTTTCCCTTAAAAAAGTTCGGTATTTACGAAATTTCGTAAATATTTACGAATTGATTCGTTAAGATGGCGGACCCCCCGCGCATGCGCAAAATCACTTCCGAAGCTTCGTTATTGGCGCGGGGTCGATTCGTTAAGGTTATAACAAATCGATTCGTTAAAACGGCGGACGCGATTGCGCATGCGCAAAAGCAACTTCCGAAACTTTGTTATTACATACGAATCGCTTCGCTATTAAAATGATAACGAATCGATTCGTTAAAACGGCGGACGCGATTGCGCAATGCAAATGCTCTATAAACAAAATCATTTCATAAAATAAATCAAATAAAATAATCAAATAGAACAAGATATTAAGATATTAAATAAAAAAGTAATAAGATAAAGTATCCAAAACTGAGTCAATTTAATAATATAATGAAATAAACAATAATATAATAATAAAATTTAAATATAAATAATAATAAATAATAATACTAATAATGAGTGAGCACTGTATTATAGCACTTTGTGTTGGCAAAGGAGCGCACTGGTTGGAACTACACAAATGAGCGAGCACTGTATTATAGCACTTTGTGTTGGCAAAAGGAGCGCACTGGTTGGAACTACACAAATGAGCGAGCACTGTATTATAGCACTTTGTGTTGGCAAAAGGAGCGCACTGGTTGGAATTACACAAATGAGCGAGCACTGTATTATAGCACTTTCTGTTGGCAAAAGGAGCGCACTGGTTGGAACTACACAAATGAGCGAGCAGTGTATGTAGCACTTTGTGTTGGCAAAAGGAGCGCACTGGTTGGAACTACACAAATGAGCGAGCACTGTATTATAGCACTTTGTGTTGGCAAAAGGAGCGCACTGGTTGGAACTACACAAATGACAAACGCACACACAGCCACCGAAGACTCTTTTATTTTTTTAGAATATTTTTTGTATTTTTTTAAGAATAAAAGACAGGTATTTTTAAAAAATATTCAGAAATAGAAACTTAACCAAATGCTCTCCCCACAGTGGAGCCAACAGCCACAAGACGGGGGAAACGCACACACAGGCAGGCACACAAGATTCTTTTCTTTTTTAGAATATTTATTGATTTTTTTTGAGAATAAAAGACAGGTATTTTTAAAAAATATTCAGAAATGGAAAATTAACCAAAAACTGGCCCTGATGTGGACCAAACACAGCCACGAGACAGGGCAAACGAGAGCACACACCAACAGAAGAGTCTTTTCTTTTTAGA